CGACCGGTTCATTGTGGTCTCAAAAAGTCCTGTACAAAATTCACCACTGGTTCGCGGTAGAGCTGGACAAATCCTTCTGACTCAAATTTCTTGTATCAGTGAGCTTCGTGCTCTCTCTTCTTCAGCAAGGTTATCATCATGATACTTGGCGCTGGCAATAGCTACGATGAATAAACCAGCATCTTCATCACCATTTTAGACAGTAATAGCGTCGTCGCCATTGCTGGAATGAAATTCTACTCTGCCGAATACATCGACATCCGCCTGATTGGTGGCCCTTTGAGGTCGACTAGTGATGAACAATAATTAGATCAGCATCTGCTCGAGCGAGTACATTCTCCTTTGACATGAGTTAAATTCTTGAAAGGATGGGGATGCCTGAATAGCCTAGCTTTTTACGAAGAATACAGTACGTGTGTTCAAAACGAGTATCATCGAAGCATTCAACTGTATTATGGTGGTGATAAGACCATCGTCACGATCTCGTAAACGAGTTGACACGTATCCAGAGAATCTTTTTGAGGAATGATAAACATGTCCGTTCTGACCGTAAAATTCCGGATGGTCGTATATGCGCATCACAAACAAGAAATTCCTCCCATGCGACGTATGCATCAACGCCAAACGACCACAATCGATTAATTTAAGTGCTAATAATGCAACACGCGCACACATGGAAACAGTCAATGCAGTACTCTACGCTAACCAAAATGTCCACTTAAACCCCCACTGGGATGGTAATGAACATGTGCTACACATAGTGACTCACGTCAACAGCTACGGTGGCGTATTTTCCATGAAGACCAAGGATCGGTGATGTACACTGCTCTTTAATTTTATAACACATTCTATGCGATAACAATTACTTATAGTCAAAGGTTAATCGTAATGAAGGCGAGCTTGAGACTAAGAAGATGCGTTTGCGGCCAATAATAATATGGTTCGGATGCAAGTTACGAAAACAGATAAATGCTGTGCTGTCGAATGGAAAGGTAGAGCGACGTCACAGAATCATATCCAAAGGCATATGGGCGGTGTTGTTTCACACTTTAGGTGCCACAAAAGCAATGTAGCTTGCTTAAAGCGTATCTCGTTATTGTAGAATTAATTCACCACTCAAGCCAATCCAAGGGGAATCTCATCGATCGACATACTGACCGTACGCAAACCAAAGTTTTCGAAAGTGATGCCGTAGGATCAACGTTTCAGTACACATATTGAACGTGATTTCATGGCACACACCCCAGGATGAAGAATGGCATCATTTTTGAGTACGATATTTAGCAGAAAGGTTGTATCGTTCAATTTAAAATTGCGGAAGGAAATCAAAATTTAGCACGTAAGAGTCATCGATCGGTTACCAAGAACTCCCACGATATAAACGCACAAGACCGGTGGCACTAAGAACAAGTACGGTCACAATTTATTTGGCTTACTCACGGTAAAGGTCGGAGAGGCAATTGATTAGACAAAGGATAATTCTGATAACGAATATGAAGCACTTGATCAAGACGTGCAAGTGCTGCCGATTTAAGCGTCAAATACAAACACCACAAGTATTGGAGATTTTCGTGCACTTCTTCCGAGGTGTCTCCAGATACAAGGCGAAGCAGTCGGTGGCATCGTGTCCTGGGGAGATGCCGTGACGGCATCGAAGAAACTAAGGCCGATCCAAAATTTGCCAATGTTCAGGAGTATTAGACAGAACGACGTTGGAAATGACATCATTCCGACTACCATATGAGCAAGATCGCACCTCACAAATCTCTATACACGCAAAATACCCAGGTACAGTTCCAGTTAGTTTCTATTAAGCACTCATATATCATGAACGCAAGCAATGACAAGCAGCGATCAAGACCGAATTGGAAGCACTAAGTGTAAATCAAAAACGTGGGAGGTAGCAAATCGCCCTCCGAAATTCAATTTTGTATCAAAAAAGTACTTTCCAAGGTAAGCCAATAACATGGGTGCCATCGAGCATTTTAAGGTTCGAATTGTCGCAAGTAGCTTCTCAGATGTCCATGTAGTGGAGTATGAAAAAATCTATTCGCTGTCATTCAAATCGGCAGTGTTTTTTGCGTTCGCAGTTGCGAGCATCTAATGCCTTCTTGTTGTGTTAGCTGATGTTTTAAACGTAATTGTGGATGGGAAAACCAAGAAGAAATATACATGGAGCCTCATTTAGAACTCGAGATATTACAAGACAAAGTGCTACTCTTGCTGAAGCCATTGTATGACCTTAAACAGTCTAGTTGATGCTGGTACGGCAACATTGACAAATTTCTCGAGTTGATTTTTTTTCCGTCGGTGCGAATTTGACTCGTGTGTCTACATTTTTTATGCTGGAGACGGATACATGCAACTAGGGTTATAGGTGGAAAAAATATGATGGTCGGATCGACATCGACATCATGAAAAGAGTGACACAGATACTGATCAACCGCTAAGATATCAAGTCTTGTCCATCAGGTAAGGATCTGGAACAAAGATTACATATAACACCCGATTCTTCTTTTTTTTGCATCCACGCATGGTGAGAGAGCTCCTCGTTCGTTTAAATATGGATTTTGAAATCCATTTGCGGATCCAGTAGACAATAGTATCAGCTACAAAAAGTCGACGAGAATAAATATACTACATGATTATGTGCGCGGATAGCGCGAAGCAATCAAAGATATTCTCTGTATTTCTAATATAAATCGAAGAAACATAACGCATGCAATCAGTATAGCAATGCAACACCATAAAGAATCGAATGACTACACCAAAAATCGTGGAAATGATAATTAGATACCTCAAAGGCACATGTTATCTTGGCATTATGCACAAAAAGAAGCCACACCTCTTAGCCCCACGAATATCGACGCCATGATTTTGTCGGACGTAGAATAACCCGGAAGATAAGATCGAACGGACATCAATTAGTGGTTTTTACACTTACCGTTTATGACAGCCTTGCGACTTGGTGGTCGCACTTCAGCCATGGAGGCTAAATTTATTACGGGAGCTCAAGCAACTTCTAAATGCGGCTGTCGACGACCACAACTCATTCAAGACATTTTCATGGTTAGGATAAAGCCGTAATGAAATTTACAACAAGAGTGCTTCATCGAGTATCGAGAACAAGGTGGCGTCGAACGCATCAAAACTTAATTGGTTCATATTTCCCCTATATTCGTACGAGCATACGAACGGACGGGTCAAGATTGGGTGGTGTGCATCGACAGAGCAGCTTGTTGATACATCCACCAAGTCACTTACGCGTGTAGTATTTATTTGTCTATGGCAGTCGCTAGGTTTCGTGCAGTGATCGATCAACAAATATAATAGCATCAATATTCGATCGAGCGTCTTCGGAGAATGTGAACAGAAAGCTCATTAAAACGGACTGTCAGCACTTTGCTAAAACGGGCAGCGGCTGTAAGTATACAATGTGGAGGGCTAGACTATAACCGTAGACAGATCTAGCAAGCTTTAGCGTATGTTTGCACCAACTGACACTGGTGGGACTAGGAAAAATTGCGACGATTCGTAATTTATGTTTTCTGACGACTACGATGCCTTTTGGGGCAACGTGTACCTCATAATCGATACTCAGCTGCAGGTAATTATAAGTGGTAACGAAGACTATAGTGTTTTGTCAAAAAAATTGAGTAATTCATCAGCCCGATGTATTTAAATTTACTTTAGATCGATACGACGCCGGCACGATTTCTTTTGATTTCACCGAACAGCATCGACGAAAAACATTAGCCACTAGTGTTGCAACAATGGGATGATCCTCGCTGTAGGAATGTATCCAGCTTGAGCCAGCACAAAAGTGCATTAGCGACGAAATTTCGTAAATTCCTGGCTTAAACACGGCGAACAAGCTATAATTTGTAAATAAAGCAGTCCATCTTGCCATTCTTTTCAAGAGACATGGCCCGTTCACAGCCGTTCAAAAATTATACGTGGTCCGTATAAACAATGAAGATCTACCAGTTTGGAAATAGACTCGAAAGTTTGCTAGCGTATGTTTTATAAAAAGGTTTTCTTTGTCAATCTTTAGGTAAATAATCTCAGCTAATTGCATCTGACGCGATTAATAACAGAATGTGCATTCTCTGTGTCATCTTATATGAGTGCGCAGCCGTTTGCAAAAAAATGCATCATGTACCAAATGGAATAGTATGTCCTGGTCTTCGACCACCAAAATTGGCGATTCCATTTTGCTTCTTCATTATCTCGATAGTCATTCAGTATCCACGACTAATTCTCACTTTTCAGTAAGCGAAAAAAATCACGTCATGTCGGCGCAGTACATAAATGAGTGTAAGACATTATCATTGTCCCTTTACAATAAATTGCACAGGCGAGTCGTCATGATAAAGCCTTTATCTTTTTAGGATCAGGGAGCACGCCTATCTGCACATATTGCTACCGAGTAGCGATATTTCGCTAGTTGCTGATATATATTACGTAAAGTTGGACTACAACCTATGCTCACACGTAAGTAAGTATACAGATATTTCGGATCCTGTGTCGATGCACTGACAAGTTCTTTCGTCAATGGATCTGATATGGACAAGTTCGTCGTCAAATTAGCTTGGAACAAATTCTCGCACTGGTCTAAGCGAAGGCAGGGGCACTACGAACACTGATGGCCTAAACATCTGTAATGGTCCATCCCGTTACAAAAGTAGTTTCGACTAAGTTTACATGTTACTTAAGTAGGGGTGCTACTTTCGAGGTAGCGAAAGTAGCACGTCGTATGTTTTAGCTGGTTTAATGGGCTCAGTCCCATTATTGGCCAGTAAGGTATAGGCACGTAAATTGAGTGGTTCCCATGAGTCCAAGGAAACCATTCGTACTTAGGATGATTAAAAGACAAAAATAAAATCAGATTTTATACTAAACGCATAATACTGGGTCTAGGCTTCCTAAGCATAGATAGTGTAAGTTAGTACGGGTTGTTCTAGCCCCGTCACACCTGGTAGCAATTAGTGGTCCATCCCATGCCCGAGTTTGGGATGAGTGATTCGTCGTACTTTGACGCTTCAGACGTGAGTCTGGAGCATGCGACTTTTCCCCATCTCACTGGTGTTGAGTTGGATGCTCTATAACGCCTATCGGCGGTATCTAAAGAGGCATTCGTTTTGTCGCTGATGAAATCAGCGACTCCTGATGGACAGCATCTCGCCATGCACGACTTCATGGCTCGCGAGGTCGCTGAATCCAATCGGCGAGGTTCAAATCCCTCGCGGGACTTCAAAGAACGATGCCGTGACGATGGAGATCTCCGTCTACTCTGGCGAAGGCAAAGAACGCTTGTCGCTGTCGCGTTGGTTCATTGAGTTTGACATTGCTATCGCCTCGAAACTTCTCAAGGCTCCTCAAGTAAAGGTCAACTTCCTCCTTCACGTCTCACTGGGAAAGACAATGAGTGGGCTTTGGGTAAACTCGTAGTGGACGAGTATGTGTTCCCCACTCTGGAAGCCATTTAGAGTGACCTTTGACTCGCCTTAGAGCCGCCACAAGAAGAAAAGTTGGTGCGTTCGAGGTTCCTGTCCTTGAGACAGGGCAAGGTGGACATGCGCAACTACGTGCAGATGGCTCGACATCTGGCGTCGTGCATTGTCACGCGTCCCATGGACATGTACACACAAGTAAACGTGTTTGCCGATGGCATGCGTGAAGGGCAGACTCGCCTTTCGCTGGAGCGCGCGGAGCCTGCCACGTCGGAAAAGTCTTTCGCTATCGCCCTCCGTGAGGACTTAAGAGTCACCAAGGCCTACACCAAGCCTTCAGTTTTAGCCGCTGTCAGATCAGCGGGCCCGGAACCTATATGTATTGATGCGATTGAGTCGTCGGGTGACCGATGACGTGTTACGTCCTACAAGGGCGACATCCTTAGTGGATGTCAGATGACTGCTTTAGATGTCGAAAGTCGGTACATCGCGCAGCTGAATGCCGCGCGCCAGCACCGGTGGCTGTGCATGCGACGGATACCCATCATGAGGGAGGTGCTCCGTTCACTCGTCCAAAAACGGACGATACCAGTGGGTTCAGGGCGCCCTACTAATTTGAAGGGAGGTTCGGGTTTACTGGTGGCAGCCCGACCTCCCAGCCCATCTGTGCTGCGTGCACGTCAAATGCCACCACTACGATTGGTTATTCACGCCTGATTATTGTTAATCTGTATGTCGCCGGTATCTCGCGACCTCTACAAGCGCTCCTGGAATCAGGAGCGACAAAAAATATCCTCCGTAAATCTTGCGTGTCAATGCTGCCACCTAGCATCCAGGTCCACGAGGGACCTGGACAAGTTGTTGTCAGGCTCGTTGACAGGACCCCAAGCCGCGTATCACGGCGCGAAGTGTCGTTGCCATTCACGTTTGACGGCTTTCGCAGCAACGAAAATGTTTTGGTAATTGAGATGAATTATGCATTCGATTGCATCGTGAGAATGCCATGGTTGGTACGCTATAATCACTAGATCGACTGGCTAGCCAGATCAGTGAGACGTCGAAGTAGGTTCGACGTCAGCGAAGTGTTCACCCATCTCGTGGTATCCCTAAGTGATTGGCCGAACGCTACAGTCGTAAATCGTACATCCACGACCCCGGCGGTGCACGGAGAGAGCGATGGCCCTCTCTCTACCGCTTGTTCCGTGCTCCTACGCACGAGTAACGATGTCTCCTCGCTTTGCTGCGAGGAAAACAATGTGGACGAACAGTGGCTCCCACAAAAAGACGACGCGGTCAAACAGAGGTTCCCGCGCACAAACAAAGCGGTCGAACAGAGGTTCCCGCACAAGATCGAACAGAGTTTCCCGCACGAGAGAGCGGTCGAACAGAGGTTCCCGCACGAGAGAGCTGGGGTCGAACAGGTGTTCCCACCTATACCCATTGTGGTTGATCAGAAACTCCCACAAGAGCAACATGTGGTCTAGCAGAGGATCGCCACCGAATGTGACGTGGATGGACACGAGGCCCCACGGGCGAACATGATGGTCGAACAGGGGTTCCCATCATCACCCACTGAGGTCAAACGGAGTTTCCCACATGAGCAAGACGTGGTCGAGAAGGGGCTCCCACACGAGTTTGTGGCGGTCGAGCAGGGACTTCCGCATCATGCGTCAACAGACGAGTATGGGCTACTCTTGTCGCGCAATTTCGACATCCTGGATGAGGACATCCAGATTCTAGGGGGGTGTAGAATTAATACCTGAATGAGGTTCGCCAGCTTCGAGCATGGACTCGAAGCACGATGGGGACGCAAGCTACGGGAACTCAGCGTTGGAATGTGTCCACGCTGTTGTGTACGTGGAAGGGGGTCCACAAAGGCGCCAACACATTATAGTCGCGAGTCCACGTCGCGACGAGTCGTCGATTACGAGCCTTCCAGGACTCTCCTGGAAGCATTTTCTACGCGACCTCAAGGGAGGCATGGTGGAACAAGTATGTCTGGTCACCAACGAGGTGACCAATGATACGATTGAGGAGCGAATGACGCACCCTCGAAGCGCTGAACAAAAGTCAGCGCGCGAAGAAAGGTTTGCGCCGCAATCTTGGGAGGCTCTGCGCGAGTCTGGTAACCCTGTCTACGACATTGCTCAAGAGTGTGCAGACGCATTCCCGGAGAAGATCCGGCTGAACTTCCTGCTGATCGTGGTGTTCGGCACAAGATTGATCTCGTGCCAGGATCGAAGTATTGTGTGACACGGCAGTGGCCGTTGCTTCATGACCAAGTCGAGGCTATTGATGCATTCTTTGAAGATCATCGCAAAGCCGGTCATGTGCGTGAGAATGTCTCACCCCATTCGAGTCCAACCTTCTGCGTGAAGAAGGCTACAAAGGGTTGCGTATAGTGCATGCGTTTAACAAGCTAAATGATGCCATTATTCCCGCCCAAACGCCTGTCCCCAGAAAAGACATGGTTATCAACTCCGTGTCAGGAAGCGTCATCTTCAGCGCCATTGATTTGACCGATGGCTTCTACCATATGTTGATGCGACAGAGTGGCGTACCACTTACTGCGGTGATAACCCCGAGCGGTATGATATGGAAGTGGCTGGTGATGCCACAAGGATTGAAGAGCGCACCAGCCACTTTCAATCGCATATTGTCCCAAGTGTTGAGACCGTTTTGAGACTTTGCTCCTGGCTACTTCGATGACATTTTTTTAAACACAGTAGCGCTTAGGGCAACCTCAGTGCTGTCCAAGTACATCCTCAACAACCGAAGCAGGTGCTCCAAGTCATGCGGGATTGCATGTTATATACAAACTTGAAGAAGTGTGTATTCTGTGTAGCGAGACTATGGTGCTGGGTTGCTACGTGAGTAAATCGGGAGTTCGAGCCGATCCAGAGAAGGTGTCGTCTATCTGTTCTTGGCCCACACCCAAGAATCCTACGGAGTTGCTTCAATGGATCAATTTAGCTATTTACTTGCATAAATAATCAAAGGATTACGCCTGTTCTATACAGCCTCTGTCGTCACTTCTGAAGAAAGACGCCACGTGGTCGTGGCGTCCCGAACATCAAGCGGCCTTTGAAGCAGTGACGAAGAGCCTGGCATCAGCGCCAGTGGTGGTACTCCCATACGACACCAATCCATTTCACGTGGTGTGTGATGCAAGTGACTTTGCAATTGGCTGCGTCCTCATGCAGTTTGATCATGAGGGCCGTGAAAGAGTCGTGAGTTACCACTCACGACATATGAAGCCGGCGGAGAAGAACTATCCAGTCCACAATAAGGAGCTATTAGCTATGCGCTACGCACTCATCAAGTTTCATGTCCACCTAATGGGCGAACCAACGTTCGCCCTGAATGCTGATCATGCATCGCTGCGTACAGCGATGAAGAGCCCACACCTGTTACAGCGGATGGCACGGTGGCTGTCTTTCTTCTCCGAGTACAGCTTCGTCGTGCACTGCAAGCCATGGAAGACTAACATTCTTGCTGACGCACTGTAACGACGTCCAGGTTGTGATCCTTGTATGGCACTGAGTCGTCAGGAAACTGACGACGACGATGAAGACGATCGATGTGTGACGTGTGTGTCGTTGAATCTAACTCGGGTCACACCCGAGTCATGCCTTTTAGATAAAATTGTTGCGGCTTATGCGAACGATCCAAATTACGCGTACATTATTGGTTATCTGCGCGCTCCCAGTGATGCTGCACTGGGAGCTCTTTCGCAAACGAAACGTGAACACATTTAACGAAACAGTGTGGATGGTAATTTGCTGTTATGCAGCATCGAAAAATTTGATGCACCTCGAATGGTGATTGCGAATGACTTGGATAAACGTGCTCGTATCATCTACAAACACCATGATGCCCCAATTGGCGGTCATCTGGGCCGCAAAAAGACATTTGCGGCTGTCTCACATGACTTCTTCTGGTCCCACATGTACAAATGGGTTCGCAACTGGGTTCACTCCTGCGAAATATGTCAGCGAGTGAAGCCATCACCATCGTCGCAGGCACCCCTGCGACCCCTTTCAATTGCAGCTGAGGCTTGGCGCTCAGTGTCAGTGGACTTTATCTTCGGGCCTGCACCCGATTGCCAAGACCGAACGGGTCTTCTGTTTTTTGTGGGTAGAATCAGCAAAATGACACATCTGGTGCCTGTTCATGCAACAATCACCGCCGCTGATACCGCGGTGCACTTCATCGACACTGTGTTTCTCCATCACGGTCTACCAGACAACATTGTCTCGGACCGTGATTCGCGTTTCAAATCTACGTTTTGGACGTCAGTGTTTGAGTTGCTTGGCACGAAACTGCAAATGTCGACAGCAGCCCATTTGGAAACGGATGGGCAAACAGAGCGGGTTAATCGGGTCCTCGAAGATGTTCTTCGAAGTTACACAACTTCCATTACGAGTCGAAGTGCATTTTAACCGATCGCGGAGTTTGCACTCAACAACGCGATTCACGCGTCAACGGAGTTGACGTCATTTTTTGCAGATTTGGTCCGTCATCCTCGCGTACCTACTCTTCTTGCCGTGGGTCAACCCACGGATCTCGTGGCTTCACTCTGGCGGGGGTAATAGTGTTAAACAACGATCGAATGCAGCTCACGGTATTCTGAGCGCGAATGTGTCACCCTATCCAAGGTGAAGCCTTCTGTTTTGACGCCAGGTGACGTGGCATCCCCGCTAGCTTGATGGGATGCACAGACACTGATTGACCCTTCTTCAGGTACGCAAATACATCAAGCCAACAATGCGCCAATTGATTCGGCGCAGCCAAATTGATGAATTGGCTGTGTCAGAGTTTATACTTCAGCGTCAAGCCATCAAGAGGCTTGCACGCGATACTCTTCGACCTGCAGTGGATAAGCAGAAAACGAATGCAGACAAACGTGGCAGAAAATACATGAATACTTTCAAGAAGAGTGATCGTGTACTGTTATCTACTGAAGGCCCACGAGATTCAGCAGCAACCAATCTCGGTGCGAGAAAACTCACGCCACGTTTCATCGGCCCATTCGCTATACTCAAGGTGATCGGCTACGCATACACGCTAGACATCTCTTCGTCACTACGACTTCACCCGACGTTTTACGTCGGGCGGCTCAAAGAGTAGTGTCCAGCTACGCTTCAAGAATTGGCTCCGTCCTCGGAGACAAAGGCTCATGGGTCGACCTACCTCTCGCCTTGCTAGACGCGCCAGCGACATCGGACGCGGATGAGTCCCAGTCGCGTGCCCAAGAACCTGGCGTTTCAGGTTCCGCATCCGTTCAAGCAGCTCGCGGTTCGACTGTCGAATCCGGCTCGCTGTTCTCTCAGCCCGCGAAGCTCGATCAAGGGAAGCTTCAGCTTCCAGCAGGACATCGACAGCCGTTCACCGCCGCATCTACATCTTCCTGGGCAACCAGGACGCCAGCATTACCATCGCGAGGACCCACCACCGCTTGTGGACGTGGAAGGTCAGAAGCACTTGATCGTAGAACCTTTACTGGGTCACGAGGACCCTCGTCATGAAACGACATCGTCGCGATTCTATGCGCGCGCGGTTCTAACCGCGCGCAAGTACCGTGTACGTTGGCTCGGGTTTCCACCCGAGCAGAATACGTGAAAATAGCGCTCTTCGCTTCTACGAGACGTTCCAGACGTCGTTCGGGTATACGAGTCCGTGCATACGCTTGGCTTAGATTTGATCGACGACCTGAGTGTTCTCGCGGTGAGCGAGAACGAGACGAACGAAGACTGTGTCGTAGTGAAGCGTCACCACGACTCCGGAGCCAAAAGCGATTGCGAGAACTTCGTGGTGAAATGTCACCACAACGACGAGATGAAGAGCGACGACGAGAACGTCGTGGTGAACGTGTATCACTACGACCACGCAAACGAAAATGTCGGGGCGAGCGTGTGGCACCGCGTCCCCGAGAACGCGAGTGGTGTGGGCGTTTGCGTCTTTAGTAATCGCTTGGCTTGTGCGTCCGTTGGGTCTTGTGGTTGAGCACTCACGATTTGTGAGTGGTGTCGGATAAGAGGGTGATGTGATGGGCCACACCGTTACATAAGTAGTTTCGATTAATTTTACATGTTACTTAAATAGGGTAGGTACTTCCGAGGTAGCGGAAGTAGCACGTTGTATATTTTAGCTGGTTTAATGGGCTCAGTCCCATTATTAGCCAGTAAGGTATAGGCACGTAGTTTGAGTGGTTCCCATAAGAATAAGGGAAACATACGTACTCAGGACGATTCAAGAGAAAATATAAAAACAGAGTTTAAAATACTAATCACCTAAGACTTGGGCTTTGAGTCTTCTTCAAAGCGTTAGAAATAGTGTAAGCTAAGTATGGGTTGTTCTAGCCCCATTACAAAATCCATTTCAAGAGAGGAATGTGGAGGGCGCTCACTGCGTTGTGAGGGATCTTTTTTTTGCTCACGCGTAAGGGCATGATAAAAACTATTTAAAAGATCCGGAGAATAAAGTTTGTTATACCATACCATAAATGATTGCGTCCTTTCCTGCTAATTGTATTCCTGGTGGGGTACTTTACACAAACTATCGTGCTAAATGCGTGCGCAATTCTCCATCCTTCTGTGGTCTCGCGTACATCAAAGATTTAAACGATATAAGGAGTAGTGAATTTACTCATTTGACTATTTGCTAACCTATCGACACATTTTTGTCGAGCTATGATTTTTTCCCACGAAGCAGCGGCCACTGCTTTAGGGTGACACCATTTATAATTGACATCGATACGATGCCATGTCCATTTCATTTTTCAGTAGGAACTTAAATAGATCCGATTTATGCAAAATAATGACCTTAACTTATCGTCGTAAAAGTACTTGCCTCGAGAGACTTATATCGCTTCATCCAATTGTTCTTACCGAGGATACATTCTTCCATCGATGAACTGCTGAAAGATCTTTGCAAGTTTACGCTATTGCTAACCGATTATAGAGAAAAATTGGCCCTGCGCGACAAGTACGCAGACATGCCTGACTTTGCTCATTTGTAAATTGCGCAACATTATTATAAGCTTGAGCGTTGACGATTGAATGATTACGAATTTGACTTTGCAGGCGCAATTTATTAAAGAGTATAAATAAAAATGCTTGATTCCTTAAGACTACCAACGATCTATTTATGTACTGGGGCCCTAACCCTTCAGGCTTCTGCGAGCTCAACCCCTCAGTAATTATGTATAATGACTTGTTCCCACAATGTCCTCTACGTTTGAATCTCCTGTAGATATTAAATTATCGTGATGCTCGTCCTGGATAAAATCTCTCGTCTGCCTTCAACCCTGACTCTTAAAGGGGCATTCATGCTTCTTTGCACTCGGCTTATTAGAATAGTAGGCCTTCAGCGCTGCGTGTAGTAGTAATATCCGCCAATAGATTGATTCACAATACTGTAACTTACTGATGAATTGTGCAGTCCTGATAACGAACGTACCACATTTTAGGCCATCCCGTGTGCTTTTAGTACATTTGCTTAAATGTCGGCCCTTGAAACGTTCATCTTAGAACCATCTGATAAACAGAAAGCAGGCATCATTCATTAATCAATATTGCCAGCTACCCTCGGATCATATCTTGTGAGCCAGGGTAATCCCAGACGACGTCAACATCGTTATCTAGATCCGGAACGAGCAAATTGATATCATACTTTATGTCATCGAACGCGCAGCAAAAAACAGTACACGTAATATCACGATTTTTGATGTCCCTGTTGCAAGGTGCGCGTGCGCCACCACACCTGTTAGATAGGATGTCGCGATCAACGAACCTTATTGGCACTTTATAGATACTAGCGATAAACAACGTTAATCGAAGCCGCTCAATCGACCAGGGAACAAAGTGAAAAATGCGTTGTTGCCTCTAGGATCAAAATGATGATGTCCCCGCATCACTCAGCGAAGAGAATAGAACATGTTATGTACCTGAAGCAACTTCTTTACGACCTGCGTATTTTCGTTCTGTTCCTGCATCAGTAGTGAGCATCACCCCTACCGACTGAGATTTATTATGCAGCCCGCATCGCTCTCTCGAAAACTCGACAGCGTTAGATCCGTCCTTCTCGACCGACGGAAGGTTGTCGCGCACTTTCGTAAAAGACAAGATACGTGTGGAACTACACTCATGCATATTGTGCTGTCATATTACATCTATCGTAGTTCTGCCATTTATGATGGATCCGATACCAAAAAATCTGGCAACCTTCACAGAGGATGTACATCGATTCTATTGGCAATGGATCTGCAGTAAGACAGGGGGGCTTGCGCTACAGATGTTCTATTCCTCACTGAAGTTTTGTTTTGTATCATCCTATAAGTTTCTAATCATGCACACATATTTATCCACATCAAAGCAGGTATCACCTGAACATGAGAGCCAAGTATCATCCTAGCCCTCTTTACAACACTCCTCTCACGGCGCTCTTTTTTTCTTCTTAAGCTGATCATCTTTCGCAGTTATATCATGGTGCTATTAGACTATTCTTCATCATATCTGCGAGCATCTCTTAAGTTAAGACGTATTTTGATCGCACCATTCCCTCATCGCTTGTGTCTCGTAAGAACCTTAATTTCACACCCACATGCTTTGACTGCTTTTTATACGCTTTAATCGCTATTTTCTGAATATCTGCTTGATTGACAATCATTCTTCCCACTGGTATCTTCGCACCTACCCAATCTTGCCCGGTAGGTCCATCTATACAAGTATCTACCCCCATGGGGCCGCCAAAATAAATATTACCTAGGCGTTCGACAGCGCCACGAATAATTACAAATTCGCTTTTCATCCTGCCAATAATTTTGCAGCCAGCATTAGGGCCCGCTACAAATTTGCACGTGTATTGTCAGCAGCATAGTCAGCAACCATTCAGCTCAGCAATTCCTCACTTTCGCCTTTAGTTACTCCTTTCATGTGATGGTTCAGCCCTTCCGTTTCTGCAATGCACCGTAATTGGAGCCTGGATATCTGCATGTCGTGTTAATTCGGTGTGTGAGTGTGTTTAGTATCTCGGATGCATTTCGTAATTAATATATGTACTGCTGTATCGAGCCACCCGCATCAAACTACCCACCAGCTTCTGGAAGTTTTCACGCTCGGCCTCTGCGGCAATGTAGATCCTCCCTCATGCTTCATCGCTCTGCGACACCGAAGATGTCTTGTCTACGATCGGTGCTCGTACCTTCTATCTTTTTCTAGTCTGCTTTGCTGGAGTAGGTAGTGATCGTCTGTTCCTGGTCCAAAGGTACCCATCTTAGATTGTCCGAATAATCGCTTCGAGGAAATGTTTAACGGGTCCCGGATTATTGAGTTAAAGGTTCTTCGTGTCCGAATCGGTCCAAAATTCTTTCGTCGGTCGCAGCAGCTAACAACCAGTCCACATAAAAACCCGTTACTATACCTCCTGAACCAATATTCTTGTAAAAAACACACGCGTCGTTGACGGACTGTATACAAATTGAATGCATTGATATTTGGTGCAGATGGATGGTTCCAGAGCCTCAAGCTTGCTCAACCCGTCGATACTTATAACACGGCAGATGCGCACATCGTTATTATCATTTTACCAGTCGTCTAAACTGTTCGGAAGGGTTGCCCGTGCCCTCGGAGACCCGTAGGTAAATCTCAGTTTACCTTTATTCATAGACCTTCAAACAGGCGCTGGGAAACAGTAGTGCAGCCCAAGTGTTCACCGCGATCGTTCCACTTCCAAGATCACCTTCCCGCTAGTCACTTTAAGCAGGTCGGAGAAGGCCAAGCTGCAGTCCTTAACCAGGAATTGTTCATCTCTACCTGTACCTAGAAAAATGTTATTGCGCCAAACAGAGTAATTTCAATCTTTTAACCTCTTATAATCCCACTTGCTTGGCAAGAGGTGCATGTTGGGGCCGCGTCTGAACACTCCACATGTTTGGTTCATGATGAAAGAAGTGATCACCTCTGCTTGCGTCTATTCCCAGAGGTAAACGCCTGTCACCTCGAGCAAAGCTTTGTCGTAATAAGGGTAAAACAAGTCTGAACACATATCCCCCATCCTTAACGACCGACATGACAATTTTAGTAAGCAATAGTAGCACATTGTGCGGTATGCCTAGCGATTTTGGTGCACTTCATGATATCTCGTGGTCTCTGGTGCTTCCTCAACTTTATGCTGACGTCTCGACTTTGCACGGTCGCCGCGATCGTCTCACTCTCAAGCTCGGGTTCTAGTTGCCTTACTAGTGATATTTTAAGGGTGGTATGACTTTATCTTTTTCAAAGAGCACACGCCCATCCGGTACTCAGTATTGCTGTATGTCTAACGCGAGTCGTTCTAAAACATCCTCTGCCTCGTGATGAACTTTTTTTGTATGATCTGCTCGTACCCTCAAGCGTCTAATATAATTCTAGCTGACGTCACTCATGTCGTTATAAAGATCTTACCTGGACAGATTAATTTGGTTTCTTTGTTTTCCCGTCCCCCATATTTGATTTCCACGGATCTTCGTTTACCAGTTGACGTGCTCTAAAAATTCTGGTATACGTTGCACGGTGACACAAACACAATGAAATTATTACCGCTTATAGTTACCCTTTGAGATCTACTATGTCATTTTCCTCCCCACGCTGGCGCGCGTAGGCATGGGAAAGGAATTCAAACAGCGTATTCTTTTACGTAGACCCAGAAGTTAATCAGTAATCCACATACAAAGTGCATGAACTGCAACATGTTCATAATAATGATCTGCATTACTTCCCCATCATGTTAAATGCAGACGCATGTGGATCTGTAGCTTGTCTTCCGATGACCGTGTGGAGTCAAAACAGATCAAAATATCGGTGTTCGTCTCCGCCGTCTGTGCGTAATTTATGCACACATACATTGAGTTGCCTCTTGACGAACACCATCACATGTTCAAGCTGTTAATCGCTTCACTCTCAATTCCAGCCACGAGATTTTTGGGCGTACGTTGGATTTTTAATCCACAATTTATAACAAACGCC